GGGCAGTGGTCTTCGTCGAAACCGAAGGTTGAACTTTTCGAAGAGTCAGTCGTACTTCCTTATTTTTTTTATCACAGATGGAAGAACCCTAAGGCGGCTCCGGGTGCTACCTACTGTCCCACGGGGGTGGAGAAGATTGCAAACTGCATCACTCACCTGCCGTGGGTTCCACTAAGCGTGATGGGTGCTCTGCGGCTCATCTCAAAGGCTAAAACCCCGTCTGAACTGGCCGTTGCTACTGTCTACGGCATTGCCCTTGTCCTCCTCTTCAGCGCCTCCTCTGCCTTCCACTGTTCCTCACTGTTTCCACCCTGGTGAGTCCTCCGCCTCGCTAACCTGTTACGGTATTGTGTTTTTTTATATTCCCGAATCACTGTTCTTACGCAGCGTCCGGCATGAGTTGTGTTCAGCCACGTATGACGGGGTGAGGGGGGAGGAGTGGGCGTTGACTGTTGCAGCCTGATTACAAATCTGTCTACGGGCTTTCTGTGTTGGCATCGTGTCCTCGTGGTTGGCCGCATAGTTACGCAAAAGAACTTGTCAACAAGGCGACCGGAAAAGGCCGTTTTTGCCGCAGGCCCTACGCCGAAAAGACCTGAAACTGTAACAGTCCCATTCGGTTGACCTTATCCGTTCAATCGCATGCGCCGTGAACTGTGATTGGCTCGCTGACGAGTAAACAGAATTCAGCAGCTTTGTTTATTTCCCATTCCCTACTATTATAGGTTGTCGTTCCCACCGAGGCCACAGATTTTTCACAATAAGGTCAATTCAATTAGTTAAATCGGCCAAACCTTCCCAAATAATTAAGTCAGCCTAATAACCATTGTTATGGATTCTAGATGATTGCTTAGGGAATCCTGCCTGATCAGTCAGCTAACTGTATCCGTAATGGTGGATTACATACGAGCAAGAGGTTGGGCGGGTAAATCGACCCACGTGTGATTTAATTCAAGCCTTTCGGCGTGCCTTCGTAACTCAGTGGGTGGCGCGTTGGCTGTACTAAATCCTTCATTGCTTTTGATGCTTGCCTCTTGTGTTAATTTAACCTCTGGTCTCAGTGAATGGAAACATTTTTACTGAAAAAATTGAATGCTAACTTCAAAATTAAACCTATTCTTCTCCCCCCTCTGCCTTTCCCAAAGTAGTCATTCCTACCACTTATCCCTATGGGAAGGCCTAAACTAACGTTAAAACTCGATGGGGTTAGAAAACAGGAATGTATACGCTGCCTGTAAGAAAATGCAAGGCTAATCCATCCCCCTCAACTTCGTTGTTTGGTGGGTGAATTTTGAAATGCGTCAGAACACCACTTTTTACACAGGAAGGTTTCCAATCGTATGCTTTTTAGAAAAAGACGCTAATCCGTCAGTATCCGTCTTTTCATTTCCGTTGACCATTGGTCCAGGGTAGAGGTTAGTTCGAGGACGAAGGTGCGATCCGCATTTTTTAGCCAAGTGTGTCAGTTCGGAGATTAGGGGTGGGGCACGAGCGTGGTGAAAGCTCTCCAAACTCCAAGGGCCGCTACGGTCTTATACGCGTTTTCAGACATCCAGGGGCCGGAATTAATCAGAAAATGCAAACACAATGCTATGCATTCAAACTGGCTATCAAAACCCCATCTCCCGGTCACGTTGCAACAGTATTGTATCAACTAGCGCAATCCTGGCTTCTAGGCATTCAGTCGCTCTGGTTGATGTAAACCATTTAGGGGCTAAAGCAGTGTAAGTCGTTTGGCAGAAAGAGAAGCGAGATGAATTGCAGTTACTCGGGTCGTAGATCAGCAGTTTACCTACTTTCGCCAGTCAGTAAAACAGGAGGGCCGGAGGCGGGGG